AAGTAGAATGTGTGGAACTAACTTCAGGCCTAGAATTTCATCATCGTCACAATTTTAGTTGTATCCCCCCTCTCCACAGTTAAACAGATTATTAAGGACAAGTAGAATGTGTGGAACTAACTTCAGGCCTAGAATATCATCATCGTCACAATTTTAGTTGTATCTCCCCTCCCTCCAGTTAAACAGATTATCAAGGACAAGTAGAATGTGTGGAGCTAACTTCAGGCCTAGAATATCATCATCGTCACAATTTTAGTTGTATCTCCCCTCCCTCCAGTTAAACAGATTATCAAGGACAAGTAGAATGTGTGGAGCTAACTTCAAGCCTAGAATATCATCATCGTCACAATTTTAGTTGTATCCCCCTCCCCCCAGTTGAACAGATTATCAAGGACAAGTAGAATGTGTGGAACTAACTTCAGGCCTAGAATTTCATCATCGTCACAATTATAGTTGTATCCCCCTCCCCCCAGTTAAACAGATTATCAAGGACAAGTAGAATGTGTGGAGCTAACTTCAGGCCTAGAATATCTAAAATTGTGACGATGATGTAATCGTTAACTTTATCCTGAAGATAAGAACATAAAAGTTTCACCTTATTTTCACAATAAATACATGCCCTAAAACCTGTTGACATGCTATTATTTGTTCTGTTTCATACAGTTTGCTTCATCCATAATGTGCAAAACTTTTCCCTTACCTAAAATAACTGACTAAGAATTAAAATGTTTTTAAACTTTAGCATCTTCCATACTGTATTAAACTTGTGACATATCATGTGTTGATTTTCTTGTTCATTTCTAGCATATAATTTCAGAAGCTACACACTGAACTACCAAGTTTTCCGGGTTGTTTTTAATTCGTTGTATTTGCATATTAATGCTGTTGTAAATATAATAGAAAATAAAATGCTTGTTATTTCAAAGTTTTCAAATCGCAGTCTCTCTGTATTTAGGAGTATGATGTTACATAACATTTCTGATTTCATTCCATACAAAAGTAACTATCAAATCTTTGTAAAACAGTTTCAGTTGATGGCAGTGGACGTTTCTATCATCTGTAGATCTTTAGACTAAGTTCTGTAACTGTAGTCTTTTAGGTAGTTTAATGCTAATTAAGTTCTAGAAACTGTAGTTCCTTATGGACGTTGAGTGCTAATTAAGTTCTACTATCAACTGTAGTTCGTTAGGGATATTGAGTGCTAATTAATTTCTATCAACTGTAGTTCTTTAGACACATTGAGTGTTAATTAAGTTCCATCAACTGTAGTTCTTTAGACACATTGAGTGCTAATTAAGTTCTACTATCAACTGTAGTTGAGTGCTAGTTAATTTCTACTATTAACTGTAGTTCTTTAAGAGACGTTTAGTGCTAATTAAGTTCTCTCAACTGTAGTTCCCGTAGCTACAAAAAAAAAGAGAGAGAGAGACTCGGTATATATATATATATATATATATGTGTGTTCAGATGGCTAAGTTAAACAAGACATACTGGATCTCTTCTTTTTTATATTTCTCCACAGTATTGCTTATATTGTATTTTAAGTTGTTACTGCCATCTAGTGATACAAATCAATGATTTTCGTATGGAAATAGACCAGCCTGAAAGTTATTGACTTTTTTTAAAAAAAACAAATCTGTATAATATACAGAATAGCTCATTATTTATCTACTTTTCTAATTTTTATCTTTTCTTGTTGCTGACTTTCCGCCACCAGACGTTAGAAATACTAATAATAGTGATTTTATTAAGGTGTCATGCTATCAATCCACTTGAAAAAAGGGCAACGTATCCAGTGCCATTTCATTTATTTTTAATCAACATTACAGACTTGTCATTTACGTTATTTTTCTTTGTTTGGGGTATTTCATTAAATTCTTTTAATTCCATCAGCTAAGATTTGTCGAACTGGGTTATAATCCGCATATATCCGCCCCAGTTTGTCAAGAAGTACGTACAATTTGCGTTTGTTTACCAGGTGTCGCTGCTGCTTTATATCGGGCAACTTTATGTTCGGCATCGTTTCGTCTAGCTTTTGAGTCTGTAAGCAAAATGTTAAGGTTTATTCTACTGTAGCTAAAAATGTAAAAAAAATCACTTCTAAATATTTTCTTTGGCAAAAAATTTTAAAACAGCATACAGATATACGTATATATATAATAAGAGTGTATAGAGCAGATGGAAGCTAAATTTAAGGGTCTTTTATAATCATAGATTTACATTAACAACAGACCTGTCTGTTCTTATGAACAGTGATCGAAATTTGCCCGTTCTCATATATCTTAATTAGAAAATAAACATCACATAAAACGCATCAGAAAATAAAGTGGAATAGAAACGGGTTTGTTAGTCTTCTTGACCATGAAAAAAAAGTTGATAGTAATTTGTCTAAAGTTGTGCTTTAACATAAGATATAAAGAAAACTACATGATTTGGAATACTTACCGGAAATGTTCCTTTGTGTCATTCACGGACAAAATAGATGTGTATATGACGAGGGACGTTAAGAAATACGAAACAGTTAATTATGAGGTTTTCGTCCTTCTGTAGCAACAGAGTCTTGGATTAATGATGATTACACTCAGAAACCACGTGCTACAGAGACAATCATATCTTTTTACATTTGTAACAAGGACCTTACGCTAGGAAACCACGTGCTACAGAGACAATCATATC